CTTTTCAGTGCTTAGGGAGTTCATTTAATGAAAAAGATTTGGGCAGTTTCTCCTGCTGGCAAGTCTCTGGGGAGCTGATGAGCAAGGGTGAGTCAACATGCATTACCTTCAAGGGGAATTTCATCTGCCTGATATGTCCGTGCACAAGAAAGGTGAAGAGACTTTATTGGGTAGGGCTGGAGTCAGGTGCGAATGCAGTTGTTTTTCACTACAGAAAAAACCCAACCAAGCTAAAGGTGGTAAGTGGAATTGTCCAAAAATATGGATCATATATATTTATATACCAATGGTTTCTTGGTATTTCCACAGCCCAGTAAGACAGTATTAGAGCCAATCAAAATGGTGTTAGTGTCTCAGTTCTGCTTTTGAAAGACTGAATTCATGAGTTTTGCAGTAATATSAATAGTTCTTACTGACTAGAGACAGTAGACAATAGACTGAAATCAAGCAGATGTTAGAAGCCTAAAGAGTAGTTGCATTGGACTGTGCCATTCTCAGAGATTTTTATCTMAGACTTTTTTGTTGTAATAAATACCATCTTTCTTTTCTTTGGTCTTGCTGGAGAAGGTCTTGTTGTCTCAGATGAATCTTCCCTTGCAGTCTGGTTAAAATGAAGAACCTATGATGATGATAAATGTTCGTAAAGACAGCTTGTTTGCTGGAGATATATATGCCCAAGKGTTGTAAGTATGTTAGTTTTCTATGGTCATTCACCAGCCATGCCCAATGAGGGTTAGTCTGTTGAAGTTACTGAGGACATGACCTTGATTAACTCTCTGCAACTTTATCATTACTATATAGATTTTAGCCACATGGAATGCTTAATAATAGAACAATATTGTGACTGGAACAGGYTCCCCAGGGAGGTGGTCACAGCACCAAGCCTGAYRGAGTTCARGAAGCRCTTGGACAACTCTCTCAGGCACRTGRTGTGACTCTTGTGGTGCCCTGCGCAGGGCCAGGAGTTGGACTCAATSATCCTCATCGGTCCCTTCCACATCAACATATYSTATGATTCTATGAAATTTTCAATATTCACATRTCTCCATTATTCATGGGAGAATTATAATTTTTATGGTCTAACTATGTCACAARGATTTGTGCGGCTCCTGTGCAGCCAAACACATGTTTAGGAGAGCTTGCTAACTTGTTTATGCAGTATGAGAAAGCAAATATACTGCYGCCAGAACCAGCTGAGGTCTAAAAGCAGTGATATTATTTCCAAATTTCCTCTCTCTAGCATATCTTAGCTCCATATTAATTTTTTAAATAAAGTTGTCTCTTCATCACTRTTTGAGCACTGTATTCAGTTAATTTTTCTGTTCAGAGGGCAGTTAAAATGGAACATAGCATTCCAAGCAAGACCAGCAGTAGCCTCTAATGTCAGTAACTTCTCTTTGGCAGACCACTTGCAGTKCTCTGGGAACTGCAAGTGTAAGCTAAATGTAGGGGTAGTGCAGAGCAGGGAGATCTTGGAAACAAAGTGATCTGCAATGCTTACAGCATGACTGGGGCTCTTTTCTGTAACAACCTTATGGCAGGTCACTGTTCTCCCATGTTGTTCCTTTCTATTCTATAGAAGTAGAGTAAMATGTAAATTTATGTAGGAGCCACCTGTAAGGTGGTGCACTGCTGATTTCAGATCTTACCTCAGCTATCTGGGTTGCAGTGTCCCCTTTTGCTCCCAGGTGGACCATGGCAAGAGCAGTTGCAATACTCCAAGGAGAAAAGAAAATGTTTTGGCCTTTGGAAGTTTCATTCAGCTTTTTGTAAAGGTCCAGAGTGAAGCTGTTSGTTGACACTGAGAGAGATTCCATCGATGCACCTGAGATAAATGAGTGTCAGAGAGAGGTGGTGACTGCTTCTTCACTTATTTTAAAAAATACAAAGCTGCTAGTGGGAGATTGCCTCCACCTCTTAAATACAGTCTGAGGGCATCCCTAGGTAAAATATGCACAGAGACTGAGTCATCTAGTTTCTTTCTAAAACTTGCATTATTTCTTCCTTTGACATCGCTTTCAGTGTCCTGCCAGTTTTGTTTTTCACCAGTTTGTACAATTTTAGTTAAAAATGTTTTCAGAGTTTAGACTTCTTTCCAAAACTTATTTGCTCTTTACTAATTTTCGTAGAGTTATTCTTTGATTCTGAGAGAATGAAACAGAGTAATGTCTCACTGTGCTGCTTTGGGATTTTTAAAATTTGTTTAAAGTTCCAGTGCTATTATTTTCTGCTGAAAAAAAAAGCATGGTGAATGCATGTGATTCACTACATATATCCCAAAGGCTTTTAGAGTGATACAGWTTTTTATACCTATGGTGTAGGTAARCCCATATTTGGAAGCCATAGCTGGATTTGCTAATTTTTGTTTTTCAGAAAATTCTTGTATGTTACATATAACTCCAAATAGTTCCTCTTTTAACCAACAACAAATTTTCGCTGCTTTTCTGCTGGTTTATCAGAACCTGCATGTTTTCAATCCTTGTTCTGCTTCTTTYCCTAAGTACGTTTTTAGACGACAAATCCAAAGCAAACAATACAGGGTTAAACTGATTTTCCATATGTGGATCCAGAACAATCCTGTGCATCTTATTAGTACTTTTTTGGTTCATCTAAAACTTTGGTGAATGTTAGGTTAAACTCAGAACTTTCYATTGTCTTTACCAGTGTAATGACTAATTAAACATTTGGTAAACTCAGTGTAAGTTGGCATCAGCTGAAATTTAAGCAAATGAATATTTAAATCTACCTTCACATGTAATTTGTGTGCTTAAATTAAAAACTGCAGTCCTCAAAGTGAGCTGCTATGAATGTCAGAGATTGGAGGAGCATCTGGGGTTCTGAAGTTCTGCTTTCAAGCTTCCTAGGGCTCCACAACAGCTTTGAAACATTCCCAGGAGTGCTTCAGAGGTGAATGCCATGCAACCTAGCTCATACTTAAGCATTTTTAGGATCTTCAAATCAGATATCTTAGTGCTGCTCTTTGAGATGCTGATATTCCCAGAGCATACCTAGGGAACCGGTCTGAGCTGAATATTTTTACCCGAAGGGTTTCAAACTGACATMTCCTTTTCCTGCTCCCAGAGAGTTTCTGGGGAGCAATCAAGTATTTCTCAGGCCTGAGAGAGAGTGTGTGTGTGTTTGTATGAGGTTCACTGGTCTACTGCCCACTTTGGTCATCTGGCAAAGAAAAGGTCTGGATGCCTGATCCAGTAGTTATTTGAAAGTTATAAATTAGAGGCTTGAACTAATGCACCCAATGCTGAGCATCCAAGACACTGTGCTGGAGAGCCATGTTGTCTTACGTGTTCAGTTCCAGGAATGGTAGAAGGGTATTCTCTCCTGCAGCCTGTTCTTAGTCCTCTGGYCTAAATCAACCTCTAGCCTGGTGATTAAGGCACTCTTCCTACAGATCAACAAAATTTCTGCCCTCCAAGTTTCTGTAGGTTTTGCCCAGCCTTGGTTTACATTCTGTCCACTGTGCTTTGTCTCARGGTTTTCCTAAGGGCTACACTTTGTCCTATAAAATAAGCACTCCCTTCCCCATATGACTTTTGTGCCATCCTTTAACCACTCAGTTCCAAAGAATTAAAAATTYATTTTAAAGACTTCCARATAAAAGCTAGTTATTTTGAGATGAATATTTACATTACCTGAAATCCTGAGAGAGAAAAGAGTTAAGATCTGTCTTCAGTCAGGATCTGTGGCGGTCTGTGGGGCAATGAGTACTTTTGGAAATGTAGAAATATTTGCACCTCCCTTTTCTTATCTACATCCTCTTCTGGTTTTAATGTGTAGTTTCCCTCATTTATTCCTAATTCTTCTCTCTATCACCTGCTTTCAGAACTTAGAGAGAGACCTCCTCAATTCAAGGTCACTGTTAGTGAGTGTATGCCCTGGAACATGAAGGCCAGTTCCCCCACAGGTGTCCTCCACAACCTGGGAGTTTGGCCCGCAAAAAATATAGGAATTCCTGGAAATAATTCAACCACACTGCATTGCCAATGGATACAGCGATGTAATTTTACATCCTCCCTTTCTTTACACTCTAGCAAGTGGGGAGATTAATATAAACTGATCTCAAAGCTGTGGCTAAAAGGCAGTATTGAAATAGACTGTTAATCTCATTCATCCCATGGTTAAATTTGAGAGGGGAAGCATCTGAATACTTGCAGACCTCAGGTCACATAAAGGTCTTATTTTGTACTAGGATTTTGAGTTTTTGCTCTTCTGTTTCAGAAAACAGATCACAAAGGAAGTTCAGAAGGTATTTACACAGTCATCTAAAATAAGTGATGAAATAAGAGTGAATGCTGGGCTCAGTTGAACTGATGATGTTGTTTTGAAAGACTTCTGCTCCTAGCAAAGCCAGTGAACGTACTTGAGATGCCTACAGGCCCTGTATTGTAGTGAGCTTATTACTCCTCTGTGGTGGAGTGGGGGAGTTTGAATCACCCACCAAAAACTGCAAAACTGCTTKGAAAATCTGTTTGTAATGATTTCTCTTACTGAAACTGTCATATAAGAGTAGGGAGCAAAAACWGGGGAATGTATAAAACTGGATATCAGCAAAGGTGTAATATAAAAGGGTTACATGCACTCAAATGTTTCACTTTAAAACAGTGTAATTCTGATCCTAATCTGTGTGATTTAGATTAAATTGTATTGATAAATTTAATTTGTGATCGTTATCTGTCTTTTCTGCTACATTTAAGCTTAGTAAGGAATGGCCTCTGCCCACTAGAATGACACATGGAGCGTAAACAAATTACCTGCATGCAGTCAACCTATATGGGAAAAGCATCGGACACTTAAAATCGGACTGCTGCATGTGCCATGCAAGGTTTCAAGAGCAATATATGTGCCTCTCTTTCTTCATATGTTTTGTTTTTAAATGCAATTTTTGTGCCTTAAATGTCCATCTTATTTTCTGACTTCAGAAATGTATTAGGCACTGTTACATTTACTTATGAGCTTAAGTAATGTGTCTGCTGTGTATCTTAAACTGCTATTGTTTGTTTTTTAGATAAATTAATAGGAAAARGAAAAACCCCCAAGCAGTTAGTGATACTACAAGCTACAAAGATTGGCCAAAATAACAGGAAAATGAAGAAAGGACYCAAACTGTGTAGACACTCTTTGTGGTATATACCAGCTGCTGCAAGATCCTATTTGGTAAGAGACACTGAAGTTACAGAAGGGAGAACATTAGCCAAAGAAGACWTGCTCTTGGTTCTGTTGTGCCAGGTGAAAACAGTGGGAGAAAATAATATATTGATGCTGACAGAATGGTAGAAACAAGGTTTCACTGCATCACAACACTTGACCTATTGACCTCAAGTGGATTGACCTCTGACAGTCATAAAAGAGTCTTTTGATAAAACCAGTAATTTTCCTCTGGCATGCTGATAAAGTAATTCTGGCCTTTTTTGAAGCCTTCTTTCATCCCYATCTGGCTCAGCAGTGATGTTGTATCTTTCTGTCTGTTTTATTGCTGTATWTCTATTCCTGTACTCTGTAAAAGATCCACTCTGAGTAGGCCTTTTGGGCATTTATTGAAGATCAGTTCTCTTGCAGTTATATCTAGTAATAAACAGCAGAATTTAAAATCAGTGTTAGACTAAGTCAAATTACACATTTTTATTCCACAAAAAATCCTATTCAGTCATGTTCCACAGGAAGAAAAGGAGACTAAGTATAACATCTGTTGCAATAGAATTCTAAAAGGTGGGACTATAAATAACATGTGAAAAGGGGATTTCTTGTGCCTGTTTCTGATRGCAAAATAAAACTTTTWAAAATATGGATGTATTTGCATTGCAGTTAGAAAGCAGTGGGGGTTTATATGTCCTCGTCTTGAACACTAACAGTACACCAACACTGTAAATTTTCTTTGTTTTGTTAGTGTGAGCTGKGTCTACCATTTCTTCTTTTCGTGAAGTCTATCTACCACAGAGATGCCAGGGATTATTTTATGAATCTGAGATTTGTACTGGGACACAAAAGCCCCATCTTTCATTGTAGGATAAACTGAAAGCATGTTAACAGTCTGTGTTTTGACAGGCCTGGAATCACTAAGTGACAAGCAGACCAGGCTCACAACTTGTTTGTATTGAAGCATGTTTCATCAGTTTCCTGTACACTTCTTTCTTTAGTTTTCAGAGMACTTTCTGAAGTGGCTTTTCAAAGAGAAGTCTATGGACCTGAAGTTAGAAATTTTGATGATACAGAACAAACCCAGGGCTTCTTGAAATGCAGCTGTGTAGCATCTATTATTGGCTAATGCCATATGGGRTATAATGAAGGAGAAGGAACCAGAYTCTTCTCAGAGGTTCCCATGASAGGACAAGAKGCAATGGGCACAGACTGAAAACATGAAATTCAATCTGAACATAGGAGAGGATGAAGATGGTCACTTATGAGGATGATCAAACTGGCACACATTGCCTAGAGAGCTTTTGTAGCTTACAGGTATTCAAAATCCAGCTGGATATGGTCCTGTGCAACCTGCATTAAGTTAGCCTGTTTGCATAGGGGATGGAACCAGATGATCTCAAGTGGCCTCTTCTGCCCTGACAGTTTTCTGATTCTGTGAGGGTTAGCCTGACCTGAGAGCTAGATGCTGGGGACCATGAAAATAATGCAGGGAGGCAGAAATGAAGCAGTTCCAGTGTTGCTTGCAGTAGATGAGCTCTGAAGAGAGTTACCCCCATGAATGTGTATCTTTCYTTCTTTCACACTTTTCACTTGTATTTCAACTCTTACACTGGCATATATACTCTTCAAAGAAAAGCTGAGATGGGTGTGGCTTGGTACCAAACTGAGCCTGTTTGACCCTTTGCACCCTTGCCCTCTGACAGTCACTGCACTGTAGTTCCTCAGAGAGCCTCAGAGGTTCTGTTTTTAGTTTTCTTATTTTTCATAGCCTTCACTTGTGTGTTTTTCCACACCTAAACAACAAACTTCTCAGTAAAGCTGAGCCAATAGCACACAACTGGGTGGTGTTAAGTGGGTCCTGAGACAACTAAATCCTGAACTGTGGCTTGTAGGCAATGGAGGGCATTGATTTTAGAAGTAGCACTTTGTACAGGAATGAAGGTGTGGATATACTTTGTTGAAGGGAGATTTAGTTCCAAATAGAATACCTTTTGGAGAGGTGGAGTAAATTGTAATTATAGGTGGAGTTTTGTTAAGAGTAAATGCTTTTATGGTATCTCCCTCCTGCCATTCAAACCATGTTTTCTTAGATAATGTTTTCTGACATGTAGTTGGACTACCGCAATGGTTGCAAAACTTGATGCTGTTCCTTATGGCCACAGGGATAGCACAACTGCTGCCATTCCAAGCCATCAGAGGGAGCTGTTGCTGCCAGTACAGCGTTGCCTGTTCATTATTGTACATATGCAAAAGGGATATGTGGAAGAAGTCACTTCTTTCACGTTGCTTGTTCACTGTTGAACATGGGCAAAAGGGAGATTTGAAAGGTGTTGTTCTGGTCAGACTGGTCAGAGGTCAAAGCCTCTAGTCAGACTTCTTATTTCTGGTGTGTTTGAAAGGTGTGTTTGTAAACACACCTAGGATGGCATGCAGAATGACAGGGTTTGGAAAATAAGACCCTAGTGTATTAGAGTTTCTCAGTTTGTCAGTTAGGATGGTGTGGTGGTTRATTTGGAATGACAAGAATGGAAACATGCTCCAGCTGTGCAGACTGCCGGATGCTCTAAGCGAACCAAGTAACTCAATGTCTTGAATAATGCAAACACAATTCCAAGTTAATTAATTTTATTAAATGCAGCTCATGGTRAAATCAAAAGTAAAGCATCAATCAAAATCAAAATTTCACTGATGATTCTATCAATACCACTAGTATCTTTGGTGAGATGCACTCATAAGGTACAAATCAAGCATTGGTCAATATTACAGATGGCAAGGAAGCTTTGCAGGTATTAGCCAGGAAACAGGTATAATTAAGTAAAATTTAAAAGAGGAAGCAGATTCAAACTCTAACAGGTTTAGATTACATATCAATAAAAGATGTCAAGAAGGCATGTTACTCATCGTTCTCCTAGCATTTTTGCTGGTTGGAAGTCTCATCAACTTTAAACTAYAAAGTTTAGAAAAATGAGGAAAAATGTGATGTGACTGGAAGTCAGCAATTTAATATTAAGGGTTCAACAATTTTCTCTCTCAGCCTTACTTTTTCAGGAAGCTGAAAGAGCAGGAGAGAATGAGTCTGATGTGTCTATATACATGTGGTGAGACAAGGGATGGTAAGGGGCATTCTGAGATTATGCTGGAATTGCATTAAATTTTGTCAACAGTCCCAAAAATGAAATTAGGTTATGAAATAACATTGCAGTGAAAATGCATGTTTCCCAGTGAGGAAAAGGGAGAAAAAGAGAGTATACAGATTTCTACAAGTTTTTTTGGTTTTTTTTCAGGGTCTCTTTTCCTCTCTGGGAGAGTCAAGAGAATGAATTGCACTTCCCTTGAAGTCAGCATTTGACATATAGGGCTAGATGATGGCCTGTGTGCAGASAGCTTTTGTGACTCTACCTTATTCTCTGACAACAAAGCCTGAAGAGCAGATTTGATACAAGGGAGCAAAATTCTGCACTCTCTTCTCTGTTTAAGGCTGTCTTGTTAGGAAAGGAGCAGTAGAAGAGTGTTCTTTGGTTGTTCAGGATGGTTTCTGGATGCTGCCTTCTTTGAGGGGCTTGGGGTAGAAGGGAAAGAATAGGCACTTTCAGTACATGGCTTAAGGTTSAGATTCTAGCACTGCAGTTCACATTTCTCCATTGAACAGGGAACTTTGGTTGCTGTATGAGAGCAAGTGATAATTCATTCTAGAGGAGAGCAGAATCTACCAAAAAAGAGGATGCTCTTGGATTTGTTGTGTCTAATGAAGAAGCAGAAAGGATGGTCAACCTTAAATTTCAGAGGATGGCTAACATGTGCACTTGTTAGTTCTACAATGACAGCAGTAGCAGCAGCTGCCTCAGTGCCCTTCTCATCAACTGCAACAAAAGACTTGTGAAAAACTTTGGAGATGAACACATTACCCTTCTCAGCCATTGCACTAAAATCAGCATTGCTGCTGAAGGCACTGCGCATTCCCATCCTGATCAGATTATCACTGAGGTCATATYTCTCTTCCATTTTGAATTTAGGTAGGTAAAGATCCACAAAAGTTTCAGTCATCTTCTTGGAATCAGTCCATTCAGACAGCTTCTCATACGTAAGTTCTTTTTCCAGCTATCATTCAAGAAAGAAAAGGAATTTGATGTTTGCAGGAGGAGAACAATTAATTAACTGTGGATTAATCAATTTTATGGCAATGTAATGAATTAAACATTTTTAAATAGCAAATTTAACATTTAGCTGAAGGCATGGAATAGAAATCAGTTTTGCTGATGATCAGAGACAGGCTTGCAACAAATATTTGAGCCTTAATGATGCAAAGTTTTGAGCAGCGCCCTTTCCAAATTCCTTGCAAAAGACAGGGAGGGCGTTCAACATCTACCATCCCCCTTGGCAGTTCTTTCCTGTCTTTTAATTCAGTCCTAATGTGAAGAAAATTGCTGTGTGGCATGTGGTCCAGTTCTATAAAAACAGGTGTTAATATTATTGCACGTATTTCCTTGTTAGCTTTGAAACAAAGTGCTTCTGGCAAAGTCTTTCTCTGCCACTCTGTGTCCTGGGCACTATGCCACCAGGGTTCAGCTCAGATCAAATGGAGGAAAGCAGTGAATACTATAGATTCCAAGAGTTTAATAGTCTTAGAATTGAAGTAACTATAGTGACAGATTTCATTATTGTAGCAAATGCAGTCTCACCAAAACCTTATTTTTTCATAGAGCAAACAAATGGTGGGGTGGGGGGGGGAGGGGGGAAAAGAGTGAGAACAATATGATTAATAAACATCCAGGCCATGAAGAGAAGGTGTCATCTCAGCAAGAACCTGTGACTAYTTGTGCAGTGATGTCTCWCCTGAATGTGCAAGGAARGGAGATTTAACCCTTACAGATCATSTAAGATTGGGTGTCAGTCATGGGGCTGTTGAAGAGCTGCACASTRTTGACTGTGTTATGCACAGTGTTGRCTGTGTTCCYAGCAAACTAAGGGCTCTCAGCATGGAAGAAGTTTCTTGGGATTAGATTAATATTAAAATTAATTCAGCTAGTGGAGGAGGTACAACAGCATGGCAGCATGTCCTCAGAGAAGGAGATATGGTTGCCAGCCTGCCCATTCTTTTAATGACTGAGCAGTAATACAAAATGGATGCAACATGCTTTTTTACCTGTTCGAGACCYGTAGAGTTGTCCTTGATGTCATCGGGAAGGAGGATGAACATACTGAGTTCGCGTTTCACATATGGCAACTCAATCATTTTGAAATTCATTGTTTCCATGATGAGAACTGGAAATGTATTTCTCATGTGCATCATCTTTACAGGCTTGGTCTTGTTCTGAAAAGTATTTATTTAAATAAGAAATCATTCCTTGAATRGAAGGACGATGATGTCTCAGTGCAGTACAAGTAGAGGAAACTTCTATAAGCAGCTTTTAAAACAGTGATTTATCATCCGTTCTCCAAAGTGTTTCTTGACAGGACAATATTSCTTATCTTGATGTTTGTCCCAAAGCTTTTGCTGRGKGCTGAAMTGAGAAATWGTTCTCTTYTCCCCAAAACATGCCCACAGAGGAAGGAAGAAGGGCGTTAGAAATGTCTGCAAGGGTTAGGAGGATGGAGGAGGCATGGGATCTGGCCTTACAACATTGACAGAAAAACAGCCATGGTTTAAGAGGATGAGTGTTGTGGTCTCCTCTGCCTGTGATAAAAAGTGACCAGTTGATTGCTTAGCAAAAGGTAACATTTGTGTGAGAGCAAAAGGCCTCATTATGACACAAATTCCTGGCAATCAGTCACCTTGTCAGGAGTATGTAACCTCCCTTAACATCTACATTCCTTCATTCAAGGAAGCAGACTATGTGTACATGCTATTCAGAAGGCAGAAGGTCAGGTGGAAGTTGCACAGAGTTCTGGTCTTTTAATGTGAATTCATTAACATCTCTTCCGCATACATGCCATTAACACTTCTAGTCTCATGCAGCCATGCATCAGCTCAGGGCACCCTGTTGAAACTGTAATTGAGCAGGAATGATTGTGCCCACCTTAGCTGCATAGTGCAGAAGCCTGGTACCGTAACCATGACAGGCCATATAGTTCCTGYCCATGGAGCCTGGACTCTCAAAATCATGCTTTTACCATTTACTCATTTTTAGCACTGTTTTACAAAAAGGTCTTAAACAACTGTAGTGATTTTGAAAAAAAGTAGCTGTTATCTGGAGCTCACTAACATTTACCTGAGCACCATCTCAATGTTTGAGTGAGCTGAGGACTGACAGATATTGCTGTAACCAGCTTTTAACAGATTCTAGTTACCACAAGGATACCCAAAAGACTTATGTGATGGAAGGAATTCAGCAGTAGCTGTTGTGATCAGGTTGTTTACAAGGAAGAGGAATACAAGAGGAACTTACCTTGCTCAGTCGGAAGGGTTGCAACCCTGTGTCTTYTGCCTTAAATTTTGTTTCCCATTCTGCCTTGAAGTAAATGGCATTTATCAGGATCAGCTTGGTGGAGTTTGTCAGATCTTSTGGATTCAGCAAGTTCTTGATTTTGCCTTTTGAAACCAGAAGAATAAGGTTTCATTCCAGCACAGTGAGGAAATTTTGATCAATTTTTCTGTCAGTTCAGCTTCTTAGTAAAAAGTCCATGCCTCAGTGCCCTACCCCCTAAAATGCTCCCCTGATATAAATCAATGCATTTCTTTACAGTCTCCGAAGCTGTTTGCTGACCTGTYCCCCTGGCTAACTGACAGGGATTTACTCCTGCCTCTAAAAAAATCACAGCCTCATGGTGAGCAGCTAGAAGCAGAGCACCTCACTGGCTGGTTACACCAGGCAGAAGGAGGGCACCTCTGCTCAATGCAGGGTGGTACAGCAAGGTGGGTATCCCCACCTGCTCTGGAGCAYACTGGTAAGCAGAGCTGTCTCTCCCCTCTGCCTGCTCTGCCATGGTGTGTGGGTGCAGCACCAGGGCGCAGTTGTGCCTGAGGACCACTGCTGCAGTGCCTCCTCAAGGAGCTCAAGAGTGCTGCTCTTTCTCTGTCCTYCCACYACATCTCTRCTCACTGCCCACGGCCACATCAGAAGGCATGGCCTGGCTGCTGCAGTAGCACCTGGGGAAGCAAGGGCACCTGCCCAAAGSAAATTGCAAGCTGACTTTGTGGGTGAGCAAAGATGTTGGAGTTGAGCCCAGCTTACCCTCAGTTTGTTTTTCAACCCAAGCGTTGATTTCCTTTCCAGACTGTTCTGGTGCTGTCTTAAAGTTAACCTTCTTTGGTTCTGCTTTGTAGTAGTTCTTACTGAGCTGTATGTATGTCTGCAAAATGTCAAAATAGGGAGCAAAAAATTTCTAGAGAAAATAGTACTAGAGAAAATAGTACTAGAGAAATATACTATTTTTCAGTCCCAAAGGGAAGTTATTAGCTCTTATATTTGATATATTCTTGGGCCTAGAGGACTGCAGACTTCTGGTTGTTGTTCTCTGTTGGACTGTGGGTAAACAATTAAGAAATCACTGAACAGAAATTTTCCTTCTTTTGTTTGAAGTTTTATCTGGAGAAGTGAGAAAGGCCATGCATCTGCTATGGATGTGCTTATTTTAATGTCTGATTTACAAYTCTTTGTCTTAGGGGTTACAATACTAAAGGCACACCGCATGAAAAGGAATCCCTACAATACAGCCAAAAGGCAATGCATCCTTAAATTCTGTGAGCAGACCAAGCACTATTTTCCAGTTAAGTTTATCACTGGAGTCCAAAGCTCTTATTTGCAATATTCAAGGCCAGCTTCAGAACTGTTCTATTAATTACAAGTAATTAAAAACAAAATTTTTTTTGTACTTGTCTATGAGATTTAACTTACAGGCAATAACAGGAAAGTTTTTTCCATGTAAATGCGGTTGGCACTTCTCAGCGAGTAGGTGCTTCTGGGTTTGTTTATAGCAGTCAGAAGCTTCTTGAAGCCGGAATGGATATCTGCAGCTTGCTTATTCTCAGGATCCTTGGAAAAACAAACCAAACATTCAACCATTTCATTTTTCCATGAAGCTTTCAAAACATGCTAAGTGATGTACGTGGRAGAGGGATTTCTTACTTTTTCTTTATACTTTTTACTTTTTAATTTTCGAAGTTTACCATCACTGCAATTTGCAGGGCTCTGTTCATGACTGGATTTGCCATATAGCAAACCTTCCAGACTATTCCCATAACTTGTCCTTTCATGCTTCTCAGAGTCTGAATGAGTGAAAGGAACTGCACTTAAACCTGTTGTGAAGTATAGTTGGGGTTTGTAATTTAAAGGGGGATGTAGACAATAAATACTGGGCTCCTAAAGCTGTATCTGGACATTTTGCTTCTGGATATTCTTTATCATGGAATTTCAGTTCTAATAAATACCAATTTTCTTCTCTTTGGTCTCCCTCGAGAAGSTCTGGAGACAGAAGAAGAGGATTCAGCTCTTGCTCCTTGAGTGAAATGAAGGACCTGCAAGCAGAATTTCCAAAGGTAAGAAATAGGCATGAAGGACCTTGTGAGACTTAAAGTCAAACAGGGATCAAATGGTTGTCATGTTTCACTCCTTGTGATCACTCACTGTGCTATCTGCTGCTTGGGTGACTAATCAAAGGGATGCTGAAGCTGTAGTGTACATAAATCCCATGGAATAACAATGAGTAGCACCATCCCCCTCCCAGACCACCAACACAGTGCTCCTGTCTGCATGATGCAAGGCAGAACTCCCTTCTATAGCTATTGCTTCCAGCAACAAGAATGTGTTTGTGAAAATCCAAATGGTTCTCCTCAGAATAACAGAATAAAAGCAACCTACCTCTGCCATCTCAGTTGCTGTAGTCCCTTTTGCTCCCAGGTATGTCAGAGCCAGAGCAGCTGATATGCTCCAAGGGGAAAAGAAAATGTTTTTTCCTTTGTTGGTCTCATTCAGCTTGTTGAAAAGATCAACTGTAAACTTGCCAACTGATATTGAGACCACTTCCATTTTTACAACCTGGAAAGAGGCAATATGCAAAATTATACTATTTGAATGTTAAAAAAATTTGTAAATAGTACATATTAGTGAGAAATGTTACATGTGCACCACAATCCATTTAYACCCACTAAAACTAATAGCATAATTATATGTTTATCTTCCACAYAGATACCATTTGCCACCTGTTAGAAGCAGCAATTTCTGTTAAGTTTTTTGTCTTCTTTTACACACCTACCATTTTCTTTGTGTTTCTTTCTGCTTTTGATTTTCAAAGATGTGCAGATTTGTAACCTCTGTATTTCTTTTCCTTTTTGTCCTTAACTAATGATTTATCAAGGCAATGTTCCCAGGGGAATTTATATGCATTTTTAATACATTGGTTCACAACACAGATATCTGAGTTTTCTACTATTTCATTTTGGATCCCTATAGAATTGAGAGCTGATACTGTGAAAAAAWTTAGGCATAATTTTTAGGCTCATTTGCTTTTCCTGACCCATGGCCTATTCTGAGTAGTTTAATGAACAGCAAAATTGTTATTTCCATGTAGATTGGTGGAGTTTTATTCATTGTGTRTACCTACCACCACTTCTGTATTTTGTTTCCAGCAGTACTTTTTTCCCCAGAAACTGCCTTGAGGTTATGAGTACTCCAGGCTTTAAGATATCTACCCAGTAATAYTTGCCTCATGTAATTTACCACTCAAGAAACCAGAAATGTTCATATTATTGTGGTTGTTGTTATTAATATTTGYATCTATGGAGTGGAGCAACAGAAGTTGTGGGGCAATCTCTGWAGTTTGCAGGTATATATCAAGCATTTGTCTTTCAAACGACTACAGTCTTTCTGGCAATCAGTGTGCTCTCAGTACCAAATCTGTACCATATAAAGATTTTCTTTCCTTGGAGAACACAACCAAGAGAGCATCAGGAWGGGAATTTCTGTGTTTAGCTAATAAATACTCCTCTGAATCTCTGGCTTGATAATGTGCAGTGCTGTGCCTTCACCTCAAGCATGGAATTCCTTTATCAAAATGAAGATTTTTAATCATAATGCAGTCACTGCCCTAAGAAAACTTCCCTTCTTGTGAATAATTCTGMCCCAAATTAGGAGTTTTTCTTAGGTTCACAGATTTATTTTCTCTAAAGGTTGACATTTAGAAAAACACAAGGCAAGAAAAATGCATTATAACACTGGTGTATTGTCATTTACCATGCAGTCACACGCAGCACAGATCGCTTTTTAAAAAATCATAAAATTTACTTAAATTTATTTAAATACTTACCTTTAATGCTGTAAGAGAGAAGACTTAGGTCTTATCTTCAGTCAGGTTCTGTGTTGTGTGTTAAGCAATTTTTAAATTAAGAAACATMGTACTGCTTGCCCCTCCCTTTCCTTCTTGTCTACATCCAGGTTGTTTCTGCCTACCCAAAGTTACTTTCTACCACATCCCCAAAAGATCTTACATAATTCTGGCCTCTTTGTTGACCTTGTCAYTTTTCAAGTTTAGGCATTCCAAAAGGTCAATGGAATTAAAATCTCAGCTCTGTTGTTACAGCACAATAGTCTACTGACAGGATCACAAAGCAAGTCACCCATTCCAAAGGTTTTCTGGTGTTGTGGAGATAACTGCTCTGTTGTTTAAAATAAGTGACTGGTAAAAATGTTACACAATGTTTCTGGATTTAAGCAGATATTGAGGGTCTGTTTCTTCTCTCTGTGACTCCTGTATTTCAAATGTAGTACTTCAGCATGAAACACCAAACTTAGTGATTGTGTTAGACACTGAGTCCAGCTTCAGGTTCAAGATCATTAGGAACCCAGACAAAGGCATAGCCATGAAGGAGGGTAAAGGATGGACACCCCACTAGTTCGTGAAGAAACATCATTGCAGTCATAGCTCGGAATAATTTGAGACAAACACTGCAAAACACTGAGTTACTGCACAGTAAGGAGCAGGGCTCAAAAAGGGTAGAGAGAAAAATTACAATGGAGGCAAACATGGCAYAGGAGTTGTCGCTTGTCAGTCCCAGGAGAGAGACAGTGATGGAAGAACAAAGTGGTGGCAACAACTGTAACACTCTGGAGGGCAGAGGAAGGTGARGGAAGGGAAGGAAATTGTACTGTGTGCTAAGCATTTTGCTGCAAGCCTGATTACAGGAACAGAGTCGGTCAACAATTCTAAAAGATGTCAGAAATCAATGTTGTGCAAGGCAGTGAAGAAATGCCAGAAATTAAACAAGTGTTACTTTTACTATGATGAACAAGTCCTTCAGAAATTTGGGTAGGAGAAAAGTCAACTGAATGGTTAGGTGGTGGGAAAGCTTAAGCCCAGAGACTCTCAAGTCCCAAAGATATGTGCTGTGAGCAAGGTAGATGCCTTTGTCAGTAAAGATGCCAGGCAGGATAAGAAAGGAAGATGTCAAAGCAAAGTAGCTCTTGAAAAGAGAGAAAAAAAAATCAAACATATTAATTGAAAGGGGCATCCAGAGATCAACCTCCTGCTTGGAGCAGGGCTATGAGTAGATAAGGTTRGACACAGTCCTTCAAAGTATGGAGATTCCTTTCTGGGCAACCTTCTGCAGTATACTGCTGCTCATTATGGGAAAAGTTGTTCTCTAATGTGCCACTCACCTCTCACTGTTGTGGCCATTTCCATTCAATAATGATCTGGCACTGCTGACAGGACATCAACTCTGTTGTCTTTGCAATCATGTTTAAAATAGTTGAAGGAGAGGTAAAAGGTCACTCACACTTCTATTGACTTTAAAGGCCTGTGAAACAGTTTGTGTGCATGTTGGCATGGTCTTGTTCCTCCTTGGCCTTCCAGGCCTTTATTCCCAAGACACATCAGGAAGTACTTCAGAGGCTTGTCCATGGGGACATGAAGTCCTTGTATGAGGTGAAGGAGGGCATGGCAGGATTGGACCTGAATGCATGGGTATTCTGGGTCATGTTTCACTACTGAGACAGGCTGAAGGCATTTATCTTGGGGTTCTATAGGGACAGAATAAAGGACTTACTTCATGACACTTTTCCTATATTCCTTCCCATTTGGGAAGCAGAGCCTGAAGGGACCCTGGAAGCAGCTGACCACTTGAAAGGAAAGAGAAATGATTCAGTGACAGTCAGTCTCTTCTCTGCCACGAAAAGGGAGTCCTGCTGTTTCGAGATGTGTTTCTAGTAAGATGTTTTTGGTGTGTGCAAGTCCTTTAAGAAACYTGGTCCTTTGCTCTCTGTTGTGAATTCAGACAAGTAAGGATCATTTCCTGCAAACATACATGACTGTTAGGACATTCTCTTGGAGAAAGAGCTGTTATATGAGTAAGWATGACCTGGGAGATTCACATTCATCTTTCAGATAGCACTTAGGGCATYAGTACTACTTATATTAGTATTAGACTTGATTCTCCCACTTGATCTTGCCTCAAACCAATAAATAAGTGACAAAGCAAATTGAAAGCAAAGCAGTGCAATGCTAGGCTAGAAACAGTGTTGTATTGGGTGAAAGGTTATAAATGTTATATATGTTGTTACATGTTTTTCAATTCCTGTGGGACAGAGATTAGAAAGTACATGTTAGCCCCTTTTCATGCAAAAAAAAAGCACCGGTATAAGGATCAAAGGGAATTTTGCAGGTTTGTTCTGTTACTAGCTCTGCCAGGCTGCAAAGTTGKCAAAAAACTGACAAGAATGTGGGTGAGGTAGCCCTCCTGAGRGSATTAGCATGAGCTGAAACCAGTRRAGATGCAGTAGCATTCTGCAAGAAKGAGATTTTCYTKTTTCTTTTCTTTTTAGGTAYCAAAAAWATAAAATTACTGGCTTAGATCAACTCAGTCTGTTCTGAATTGTGGAAGCTCTAGTTCAGAAAGTGCTGAAAAGACACAGCAATGTAATTCTTTGCACAGTTTGGTACTCACAATGTAGTGCTAGCAGTTTTGTGTTCTTTGGCCAGGAAAATGAGCCAGAGGCATGAATTTGAGGTTATTTTTAATAAATACTCTTCTAACATTGAGAGATTTGTCAACAGTACAGGAAAATTAAGAAGTGCACAGACTATTGAGATGCTCTTTGTGGTGTGTACTTAGTTCATTGTTGTTGCAATAACCTGTTTAGTAACTGAGTTTCTAGGGGGAAGAGAACCTTCCCAAGAAGAGGATAGTCTTGGTCTTGTTGTGCCTGATAAAGAAGAGGAAAGGGTGATCTGCCAGAAAAATAATAGTAGCACCAAGACTTCTTGATGCCAGTGTTGCTGAGCTGGCAGCTGCTGCCTCTGTGCCTTCTTCATTGACTTCCAGGTAACACTTGTGAAAAACTTGTGACAAAAACAGATCACCAGTCCTTGACATTGCTGTGAAATCAGCTTGACCTTCTGTGAAGGCATCTTGTATCCCCATCCTGCTCAAAGTAGATTTGAGGTCATATTTCTCTTCTAACGTGAATCTGGGCAGATAAACTTCCATGTTCATTTTCTCCATTAGTTCTGGGTTGGTCCATGCMGACAAGTTTTCAAAAGTCAATTCTCTTTCCAGCTGCAATTAGTTAAAAGAAGATTAGAAAATCAAAGAATGTTTAAAATCTGCACCCTAAGGGTTATTTCTTCTCTTTTCTTAAATGGACAACTTTTCAAGAGATTGTAAGGGTACAAGAAAAACAGTAATGAAACTGCAGTTTGGAGATCTTTTTAACTAAAGGAGGATGTTGCTCTGTGGTATATCAATCCAGTATTTGGACTGTTCTCAGTAACTGTCAGGGAATATAGTAGAGCTACAATTGTGTGGTTGATTTTCTGTTCCCAGTGCTGTCTTCCCCATATTTTAGAATTTACTGAAAAGAGCTCACCCCCTAATACCCATCCTCCCCTGACATCTTATAAATGAAAATTTCTGGAGGGTTTGCTATCCAAAGGCAGAATAAGGCTTTTTACAGAAGGTGGCAGTGTCCATACATATTAGTTCTGGATATGGTGGAGTATAACAGAGACTGCCCAATTTTTGCTGGTTTACTTCAGTATGAAATAATTATCTGTCTGAATTGGTGTGGACAGTGGATCTCAGCAGGGCTGGTTTTCTGTCCTCATTTTTGTTTGGCCGGAAAAGGAGCAATCTTACAGGGTTTGGGTTACCTATTTCCAGGACTGATCAATAGTAGAAACCACAGATATGCTAGATTCCAAGACTAAGAAATCCAGTCTGAGCTCCAAGAGTTTCAAGCTCACAGTACTAGACCAGATTTGGGATTTGCTTTACCTTGAGCCTGATCAGTACCCTCCTTCCTGGAAACATTCCTGCAGCCCGGTCTTTTACCTCACACATGCATAAAGTAAGTAAATAATGACACTCTTATTTTTTCACATGATTTATGTTCTCAGTTGTTTTACCTTTTGTAAGCCAGCGATGTCAGTCGGTAGCAAGATAAACATGCTAAGGTCATTATTGACATATGGAAGCTCAAGAACATCAGCCTGAACTGATTCAATGTAGTTTAAGTTAAATTTATCCCTCAGGTACATCATGGSCACTGGCTTAGTCGTATTCTGCAACAAATCAAATTGAATATTTTGCATTTATATTCTGAACAGTAAAAGGACTGAATTAAAGTAGCACAGTAGATGTTTATTGTATTTACTGTACTAGCTGYCCAATGTGTCTGTATCCTTATGGGTAGGACACAGAACACAGGATCTTCAGAGGACCCCTGGTTTTCTGGAAAGGCACTTGGAGCCATAGCAGGYTGTCTGAACTGTCTCAGATGACACAAATTATAGGAAACTGTATATTCTGATTTGTTGAATAGATAAAAGTGAAAATGTGAAGAATTAACCCATATGTTTTGCTCATCTCTCTGTTTTTCCTGGCTTCAGAGAATGGAAGCTTCTTTGAAGTCAGCTTCTGACAATTTACTTATGGCTCAGGGCCTGGTATGTGTGTGCAGCCTTAGAGCAGAAAGTGTGGTGACATAAATATACTGAATATAATGTATATTTTAAATGAAATAACTATCATGCCACATGGATTTAAAGGGAGATGGAATTTCCTCCCCTCTCCCTCCCCACCCTCCATCTATTTCAGGTTTTTCCACCTGCAGCATGGGAAAGAGAGCAGTATATTGCCATACCATGTTTGTTCTGAAAGGCCTTTGCCTGGTGGCTTTGGCTTCAAACTTTGTTGCCCAGTTTCCTTTGAAGTAGAGCGTATTTATCAGGACTAGCCTGGTGAGTGAATCTACGGATCCAGGAGGCAGAAGATTTTGGATTTTACCTAGAGAAAATAGAGGGATGTTCACACATCTGTGCTGTTTCACTGTTTTGGTGTAAGTGCTGGCACAGTTTCTGGGGGTACAAATCAGAAGCTTTGGTGTAAGTGCTGCCAYAGCACCTATCTATCTTGAGATTATTGGCAAATATGTAGTTACTGGGGTAATCTTGATTTACAAAGAAGAATAAACCATATTCCTCCTACACTGAGATGGAAGACACTTATTTTAGTAAGAGCTTGTCAGTAGATGAATAATTCAGGAAAAGTCTGATTTACCTTTCTGAGGTGAATTGTTTACCTGCCATGGGTCCCCTTTGGAGACACCAAAATGGCTCCTTTTTGATTTGGARAAGAGGGGCTGGCACTTACCTTCAGTCTGTTGTTCAACACTGGAATTGATGTCTCTCCTGATTTCATCTGCTGCTCCCACAAAGTCAACTGATTGTGGCTCTGCACTGTAATATCTCTTGGCTAGCAGTAAGTAATCCTGCAGTGCAAGAGAGACACGAGACTTAAGTTTGTTAACTGACAGTAATAGTGTACTGCTACAGCCAGAGGTAAAAATTACATGGACACAAGCACAGCGCTTTCTCAAAAGCACTAAGTATTTTTTAGTGGAAATACTCAGTTTAAACATTCTTATCTAACTATATCTACAAATCAGTCTGATATTACAGATATTACATTCTGATATGTCCGAAAACTTTAAAATTTTAATGTCCAAAATCTAAGGAAAACTCTCATGGAAAATATTCAAGTTAAGGATAATAACATAATTTGCAAATGTAGCAAAAATATTRAAAAGTATATATGGCTTATGTTGCCATAGGTATATTATGAAGATTAAACGATACTGCATAATATGAATAACAGTCTTACCTTACTGAAAGGCAATGATTTTTCTCCATATAACTGGTTGACACTTTTAAGCAGGTAATTTTTAGTGGGTTGGTTGATTTCAAAGTTGAGTGCTTTAAAACCAGGATGGACATTATCTGCTTTGCCAATTTCTGTCTTGGAGAAAGAGAAAAAAAAATAATATTATTCATCTGTTGTGTAAAAATCCTGGGTTTTCCTTCACACAGATCCAAGTATTTGTCTTCAGGTGATCTGTTACCTATATTACAAAAGAAGAGGCGCTATAAACTGGACAGCTATTAAAAGAGTTAGAATCCATATCACTACCCATAGTACTGCCCATAGCACTCCATAATTCTTACGATTAGTGCAAGTGTTACTCATGAGGAACAATCCCTCTCCTGTTCATGCAGTGCAAATGAGAAGTTTACATAAYTCCTAAAATAAATTTTCCCACCCTGGGATTTGTCTGTGGGATGCAGATCCAYTCATCAGAACTAGMAGCAGTTGGGGTTTTGTGGGCAGAYTGCAGGGAAATGACCCACCCCCCTTAAGAATATGGATGATGAGAAAGAGCAAGAAGAGCTTGACATCAAGGYTGAATTGTCAATGAGAATAAAAGCCTTGACTGACTCAGAGGGATTACATTTGCTTTACTGTATTTTTCTGCTGTGTTGAGTTGCATATTCATTGGGACAAGATGCCTGCCCATCACTTCTAGGTCTTATCTCCGGAATACAATGATTCCCATTTCTCTAAGTTTTATGGCAGGCAACTGGTCTACTTTGAAAAATCCTAACAYATACATTTATGTTGTTAACTTCTCAGCTGAAATGGAGACTAATTTCTTAAGCATTTCAAGTATAGGTATCCTGGAAAAGTTAAGGTTCTGGGTTTTGTTGTCTTGATGCTGCAATCAAAAGTGTGGAAGCGGACCTCCTTTCTTGGGATTAGCTCTCTGAGGTAAGAGCTGTGTTAGCTTTTGAATGGTAATAGTTTGAGAAAGAAATCTGTCCTCGGAGCTAAAGGGAAAAGACCGAGAGATATATTGATCATCTAATGTTAAATTTTGCAAATTTGAGGTTAGATTGTGCAATTCTGTGTAAAAAAAGGAAGCATGTAATAAGTATTGCAGTAGGTGAAGGTATCACTGGATGCCACACCAATTAATTACATATACACTAAATCTGAGGGACGCAAACATAATGCAAATGTGGAAAGAAAAGACAAGCAAGAGAGGATGTGACCATGCCCGTAGCTTGATCTCCAGCTTGGATGAGATACCTTCTGGAAACATGCACGTCGATTGGATAGACTCTCTTCTGTTCTGGAATAGACTTGCATTCTTATGGTTGTGGTAACATTTTTGGCTCCTTCAGCTTTATTGAAGTGAAGAACCTGGAGTGGAAAAAGCAATAATAAATGCAACCTGGAGTGGAAAAGCAATAAATGTAGAAATTTTGCTGTCTCAGTCTGCTGTGGGTAGTGGTAATGAAGAGAGTCAAGCTCAAATTTTATTCTTGTGTCCAGTCCTTACTGATTATGAAATCTTTGGCTAGGTCTTGATGCCCRTGTTTACGAAATGGCT